GACTGCTGCCGGAGTTGGTTCAAGCACCTACTTTGAACGCCTTCAAGAGAAATCTGGATGCTTATCTTGCTGGGATCCTATGACTCCAGCTGACTTCCTGCCCCTTGGGCAGGAGGCTGGACTCGAAGATCTTCCGAGGTCCCTTCCAGCCCTAACGTCTATGAAATCTATTAAATTTGAACAAAAAGTACTCACTGCAGATGCACAGGGAAGTCTGACCAGAGCCGGGAGCATGCAGCTACATTTCTGCAAGTGTGTGCACCCTGCAGATTGGTGGAGGGAGCATACAAATGGGTATTTCTGGCTGTGGAAAGGGGCAGCTGAAAGAGGACCAAAGTTCACAGGAGTATGAGATGCTAGAGATCTTCCTCACCAACAGTATCCGGCAGATCACTGCGAGGGAAGCAATTGGGCCCTTGGGGCAAGATGATCAGAGGGCCACTGACAGGGCCTGGGACATGCCGCACTGGAGAATTGCTGCAGGACAGCCAGGAGGAGACAGAATAGATGGACACAGGAGCCAGAACTGTGAATCTTAAAGGGATAGTGCCTTTTTCTTTTTTTTTTAGTTTACCTATTCTTTTTTTTTTTTTCTTTCTGTTTGTGGGAATGGGGTCACTCATTCAAGAAGCTGAGAAGGCCACAAGAGGGAAAGATCTCATTGTGAAAGCAAGTTGATCCTGGCCTGGCCTTGAAGAGCCAGGGCAGGGTAGAAACTCCAGGAAAACTGATTTTGAGTGGACTGACCCCGAACTGGGGAGGAATTGATTTAATTCGATTGCCACAGGAGTACTTGAAAGACTGAAGTAATGTGATTGGCTCAGAAACTGCGTGGAACTGATTTTCAAGGATTTTTTTTTTTTGATTAATTAATGGATTTTGTTGTGGATGATTTAATTTGATAAACTCAAGGATCTGGGATGAACTGATTCTACTAGATTGTCTCATGGACTCCTAATAAACCTACTAGGATAGATTAGCCCAGGGGCCAAAATGAATTGATGTAAGGTGGATGCCTCATGGCCTCTGAAGGGGCTTAGTAAACTGAAGTGCCTGGAAATCTGCAAGGAATTGGTTTAGGAATGAACTCAGAAATCCTAAATGAAGGGGCCTAGGTCCTAAAATTTATTCAGTGAACTATGACTATTGGCCAGTGACATCCCTAGTGAACATGAGATCCAGACCCTGATGTGTGTCATCCTGGACATGGTGAGGGTGGGGTTTAAGGAGACGAGGAGCCCCACAAAGAGAGCCTATCCAGGGGATCCAGAAGTTGCTGTCCAGCTTCTATCCAACTCCCAAGGTTTCAGACAAAGAAACTCTTGCTTCAAGATGTGGCGGGTAAGAGAAAGACGTCAGAGATTGAAAGTGACCAGATCATCTGGTTTTTCCCCACAGCTCACCCCGTAAAGCGCTGTGTAGGCAGGGACCACGGCCTTATAGCACCAGAGACTGTCAAGCTGGCAGGGTGACATGAAGGACAGCAGACAAGCTGTCAGCTGCCCCCTCATCCCTCCTCCACCTGCCAGGGCCTCTCCACCAATCAGTGCTGAGGGGCAGAGTGGCATGAAGGGCAGCCAGCAATCAACATGATGGCAACTGCCTTGTCCCTCCTCTCCCCCTGGGCCTCTCTGCCAATCAATTCCCAGGGGCATGGCTTACCCACCAGTCAGCACCAAGGGACGGGGCTGCTGTGAAATGCCCATGAAATCAGCTCTGCGCACTGCGAGCAGGCTGCGTAAAACCCTTCGTCTTTCTGTGATCTAAGTAGGTCCCTAATAGTAAAAGGCCTCCATTTGAACTATAGTAACTTGGATATTTAAGTTCATTGCATTCAGTCAACTTGGCTTGCAGCCATGTGGTGCCTTATGTGCAACGCCACAAACACTTGGAGATTCCTGGAAGCTTCCTAGTGTCACCATCCAAATCATCCCAGCTACAACTATAGGTTGTGGATCATTTAGCAACCCGATACTGGCCAGCCCTAACATACACAATGGAGAGTCATCCAGAGGGCTTGAGAGCAGGATAGGACAGGATAGGGAAAGTGTGGGAATGAAGAAATACTTAATAGTTAGAGAGGAAAGCACTTGACTGCCTAAATGAGTAGAGAGCTATTAGAATGGTTGAATGTTGAAATCTGGAGTGAATGAAGGTAGGAAAATAAGTTATATGAAAGGGGTAGATGCACAGTGGTTAAAGGAGACAAGAGTTAATGAACCCTGGCTGGGAAGAAGTCAGACTGGGGTGGGAGAGAAAACAAAGATGTGTCTGACTCTTGGCCCTTTTTGTCATGAATGTGTCCCTGCTCTTTACAAGTGCTCTCCAGTTTGCTAACAACAAAGAACAAAATCTGGTCCCCCTTTCTTCCTTCAAAAATATTGTGGAATCAGCAAGACAGCTGCTTAACTTCACTATTCAGTTACCTGCCCTGTGTGTTTGTGTGGACTGCACGTCTTTGGGCAGAGATTTTTTCTTCATATCTAATCGTCAACTGCCCGATGCACTGAACTGCTTTATAAAAATATTAAATAATAAATTCCTACAAGTCATCCTACCACTCTTTCTTTATTCAGAGAAGTTGAGCTGTGTTACCTAATCCGTCAGATATCTGAGCTATAGAGATTACCCTGAAGAAGTCACACGACTTGACCAGATCTCACAGGGATGAAATGGCCTATGTGTAGGAGGATTTTTTTGCAAAATAGTGTGGAGAATTTAGGATAACTTTTGAGTGTTTCAACACATTAATCGCTTTGACTGACATAAATTGGTACTTAAATATAAAAAAGGATTCATATCTTGCACAGAACACAGAAAAATTGGGGGAAAAACAAGAAGAATCTGCCATATACTTTTGTTACTGTTCTATGACAGATGGTATGTGTAAAATGCTCCATGAGAAATATTACTTATCACTGTCTTAAATAACTTGGTCAGAATGTTTTTTGCCTTTAAATGCAATAGTTTTCATTATAATTATTCCTCTTATGTTTTTATAATGCTGTATGTTTGGATACTACTGTGCTCTGTGCTTTGGCATCTTAAATTCAGCTTATCTCACTGGATTCCTGAGAAGGGAGTTTTACAAAAAGACTCCCTGTTTTTCATGCACATGTCAAAGGAATAGATATCTGAGAAACCCCTAGAATACCTAGGCTTGATTCAAGTCAGTAAGTAGTGACTTTGCACGGGAACTTGCCTGGAATTTATTGAGTGCATTTCATGGGAATCCTCCTTGTCCTTCTCAGTACTGCAACATTTGTCACATCTCACATTTTTAATCCATATAAGGGAAATGAAAGGTAGAATAATCACTAGAAATAAGAAACTGAAAATGGAGCACTGAACCACTCAGAGAGAAAATCTAGTTACATATTCGTCAGGCCATGAACTGATCATAACCTCAATGTTTATTAGTCTCTTCCTCCCGCCCACATTACATTAAGTGTATGGCACTAATCTGTCTCTTATTACTAGTCTCATGTTTAAATGGCTTGCTAGAATAACAAATTCAAATCCCAGCCCTTCTGTCTTCTGTGGTGAAGGTCAGAAGGTGGGCATCCCATACTCTGTACCCTTTGTTTAGGCAGGGCCTGAAGCTGGAGTTTCTGTCTCCTCAGTCCTGAGCATAAAAAGTCCTATTGTAGTTTTTGTAAGAGTAGGAGTTACTCTCTGGTTCCTTAACCAAAACGTGTTTATTCTCTGCTGCTGTAATTAATATGTTTTGATAAATATTTGCTGCCCCAAACCCAATGATGGCCACATTTCTTTAGCACATTATGTACGGACACCAGTTCTGTATTTGGATCCGTGCGGGTCAGCATGTGCACCAAATACCATGTTAAATGTTAAATGCGTAATATAGTTTAGAATTCTTTAAGATGAAAATATATACATAAACATTTTATTTTACTTCTGAAATCTCTTCATGGAGGTATGAACACTTTAGCTGTGTCAACTAGTTCACAGTTCAGTTGATGTCAGCTAGTTTACAGTGAGGTTGTGATTTTAAGCTGATACTGCTTGCTGACAAATGGCAGATGAACACAGAAATGTTTAAAAAAAAAAAAAGAAAAAAAATACTCCAGCCTGATGATTAGCAGGGATCCTGGTTTTCTTTGATCTAAAAAAAAATCCCCAATTTTTGGTCAAAAAAAAGTAACCCCAAATCCACATTTTTCTGTGATTTAAATGAAACATCACTAATATAGAGATATGTATATAGTGGTGTTTCATTTTAATCATGGAAAAATATGGATTTGGGGTTACTTTTTTTAACCAAAAACTGGGGATTTTTTTAAATTGGAAAAAACCAGGACCCCTGGCTGATTAGTAGCTCTCTGCACTGCTAAGGAACAGTCAACTTCATGCTCTCCTATGAGGCAGGCAGTATCAAATGTCAGTGCATCTCAAATCCAGGGAATCTGAAACCAGTATAAGCAATGGCGACACATAGGGAGTGCGTGTGGGTGCACGTGCACTCCCTGAGCTCGGCGGTGCACCCCCTGCAAAAAACGCTGCCGGTGGTGCTTGGGCTTGGCCAGAAGATCTAGGCCAAGCTTGGCCCCTGCATTGCTTGAGCTGTCAGGGAGCGGGGAGAACCCCAGCTCCCAGACCAGTAATGACAGCCCTGCCCGCCCGGCACAGCGCGGGGCCCGGCAGGGACGAGCGGCGCGGACTACATCTCCCAGCAGCCCCGGGGGCGGGAAGGGCGGTGCCTGGAGTCCGGCGGGCGGGAGGCCGCTGTCTGCTCTGTACGGCCGCGACGCCTGTCCCGCGGCCCTCGGAGGGGGTTCGGCTGTGTCCAGCGGCGAGGCGGCTTTGCCATGGCTCTCCCCTCCGCGCCCTTGAGAGTCTGCATCGTGGGCTCCGGGAACTGGTGAGTGCCGCGGAGCGGCTCTACCTTCCCGCTGTGCCCGCGCCCCACCCGGGAGATGCGCCCGGCTGCGGGCGGCAGCTCCGGAGCCGCTGTCACGTTGGTCCCCCGTGGAGATGGCCTCTGCCTCCCCAGCGGGCAAGGTCCAGGGAGCAGGGCCCTGGTCCCCTCCTCCCGTGCCCCTTCGCAGCCGAGCTGAGTGGGTTTCAAAGGCTGCTGGTCAGCAAAGGGATGGGGGGGAAGTGCCTGCAACATGCGTCGAGAAGGGTGTGTAGGGGTTGGTATTGAAAGTTCATTTGCTACCCAGTCGGACGGCAGGCCGCATCAATCCTTGGGGGTCTCTGGTGATGGGAATCCTAGGGGTAACAGGTGCATGGCTGTAGCTGTGTTGATCTCGGGATATAGACGGGAAAGGTTTCATGGTTTCATAGCCATTAGGGACTGGAAGGGACCTCACAGATCATGGGGTCTGGCCCCCCTGTCCTAGGGCAGGAAAGATTGCTGGGGTCAAATGACCCCAGCAAGATGGGTGTCAAGATTGCCAGGGTGGTTTCTTTGGGGAGATGTAATTATCTTTTATTAGACCAACAAAACAGTTGGGTAACAGTTCTTTCCAAGCATTCAGGAGAAGGGCGCGTGCCGCTTCAGGGATGTCTTCCGTAGCTGCGTTGGGCTGAGACACAAAGAAATGCAAACCTCTAGAACGCTTGGTTCAGAGATGGCACCTTTTATCAGCCCAACTAAGAAATTGCAAAAAAAATCTTTCTTTGCAAGCTTTCAGGCACACGCACACCCTTATTCAGGCTGAAGGAAAATTAAAGATGGTAAAAGTCCCTGTAGGTAGAAAAAAACTATTTTGCACAGAGGATGCTTCAGAGAGCTCCAGTTGCCTGCGAAGGGATGAGATCTGTGCGCACTGTCATGTGTGGTTCTGTGACAGAGAAACCACAACTGTTTGTTTCAAAACAGCCAAGGCAGGAGGAGGGCCCCTTCCAGTCCCAGTTTTGAAGTTTTGCTCAAACCTAGCTGTTTTCAAGCAGCTGAAACTTGGAACCAGCTGTGTAGGCTGGCCTGTGCAAGACCTGTCCCACAGAGGTTTTGCATATCTTTGCTTTTTGAAAAAGCATGATTTCCCCCTTCCTGTGCTTAGGAATTCTTGTGAGAAATTGTGGGCGTGTGGTGGTTGTTCTGTAGAGTCCGTTTGTTCCAGCATGCCGGCGTCTGCATGTGTTTAATTAGGATGTGTTTTTATTTATTTTATTTTCATTCAATATTATTAAGTTATATTTAATCTTATGTTAAATAAATTGAATGTTTCATTCAATATTATTAAATTATATTTAATCGTATGTTTTTCAAGAGGGGTAAAGTGTAGCAGCAGTGTCCAATCATGTAGGAAGAATAAAATGTTTAGCACAACAGGCCTGATCCACTCCACAACTCCAGGTCCTCATCAGAAATATTCCACTGAAGTCAGTGGGAAAACAAACTGAAGAATCAGCACTCTCCTTTGTTCTCTTTGGTCTGTTAAACTTTTTGATACAAAAGTTACAATAGGATATTTTTAACCTGGTGTTTGTGATAGGACTGCTGACATCAGCTGGCAGAAACATTAAAGACACTGAACACTTCTTTTTCAGTCAGTCATTGCTGACTCTGTTGTCTGAAGGATTTTAATTTTTAAAGAAAGCAGTGTCTAAACTTGTGAAACACACAGATCTCTTTTATATAGCGTGTGCATGCACATTGTCTATCAAGATAGCTGACAGAGACGTTTCAGGACACTGCACAATATATCATTAATCTCTTACTGCCAAAAAATGAGAGGTAAGGACGGATGAACTTCAGTTTCCCATATGTTGTGGAGCATAGAAGGTATAATATGCAAGCTTTTATTGCCAGAGCTATTGGCTTGTGAAGAGACTTTTGACAAATGACTAACAGCTTTGCTCTTTTTTTTCCACTGAAGGCAATGGAAGTTTTACTATTAACTTTTATAGGAGTAGAACCATACCTTTGAGCATTCTCTGTTTTGGTTTCCCACTCTATTATTATCCCTGTTGTAATGCCCATCTGTAAAAAAACAAAACAAAAAAACACAAACAAACCCGCTCCTCAGTGGAAAGGTACCAATAAAGTACAAATCGTTATAAATCTGTCTTCATGGTTGGTCATTTAATGACCTTTAAAAACTAGGTGCTGCCAGGGATGACTTATGGCTAACTTCAGAATACAGTTGCATAATTTTAAATATATCATTGGGATAATATCTCTAACTTTTGAAAACTCCAAAATTTCTCGATGAGTTAAATCATTCAGTTAGGAGGAGACAAGGGACTCTTCTGTTTCTATTTGACAAATTGTACTTTAGTGTCCTGGTCAATTTAACCTTAACTTCCTATTATTTTTTTTCCTTTTAGCTTGTCAATATTGTAATTATGCAAAGTATGTATACAACTTAGACTTATTGAAGCTACAGCTGTCTAGTGTGATACTAGTATGCATCAAAGTAAAAGGCTTTGTTGAGATTATCCATTAGTTACAGCCATGTGGGAATAACTTTAATTGTTGTTGTGGTTGTCTCATTTGGACCAGCTCAGCCCACAACAAATGTGCATACATGTACATACCTGGCAGATATTTGGAGGGCAAAAATCTCAGATGTACTACACTTTGAGAAGAAAAGATGACAAATAAGCCACATTTTTTTAGGTCACTGATAGTTTGGTTCAATACTGTCCATGGTGACATAAACTATCTACAAAGGAGTGGAAGAAAAACAGTGAATTTCAAAAGGTTATAATCTAGCAAATGACTTGGTAGACAACTTTTTATTAAATGCGTCTCTCATTATGGGTGCTTTTATCATTCAAACTTTTCTTTCTTTTCACAGGATCCCCCGAGAGATCCTGATTAATACCCTGATTCAGGAAAGCATTTCCCAAATCAGGACAGTATTAAATCAATACAATTTAAGTACATGCTTAATTTTCATATTAAAGTTTGTATGTGAGTGACACCCTTGGGCCTAAGACCAAATTCTGGAAATGCTTGTGCTCATGAACAGTGAACTAGGAAAGTGCATACGTGTCTGCACCCTGAGGATCATAGTTGGGATGTTTTACTCCTTGTGATTTGTGTGTTATTCTAAGGTCTGTATTACAGGGATGCTAGGGTATACGAGACAATTAGTTTAGATGTATAAGTAGGTGAACTCAGTGGGACTTTGTTAAACATGTGCACACTATCTGGGGAACTGTCTGGGTGTGGTTTGATTCTGTTCAAAATTATGAACTCTGTGCCAAATTTCAAACTGCACTCTGACTGTAAGACTGGTCTTTTCCTTCCCCCTGTCTTTTACCCTCCATCTGGGACTAAAGCCTCTAATAATTAGCTCTCACAGACCTAATTATGATCCTGTCAAGCTATTTGCTATCAAGGGAGGCTGTAGTCAGGGTAGAGGTCACCTTGGCTGTGAAGCAACCTGGCAGGAGTCTGTGAACTTCTGCTGGAAGCTGGTCAAGCAGCCAACAAGAGAGGGAATGCCACAGAAAGCAGGGTATTTGCTGTCTTAGGTTATCTTCTGCTCTTTGGGCTGATGGGCACATGCCTGCAGCAAGACTTTAATGAGAGGAGTAAACCTGGCTGTCCTGAATGTAGACAGAACCCAGGGACTCCCAGGGAAAGGTGAACTGAAGTAAAGGGCCTTTCAGATAGGAAAGTAATGTTACCAAGTTTCTGCAACCTGTTGTGCTTGAGTCTTTTAAGTAAAAACTTGGCAGAAATTCTGTTTATTCACACCTGCCATGTGCCTCCCAGCTTACTTCATGTTTTGGGGTGGAAAGGGTGTGCTTGACAGCAGTGATAACCTGAGGAGTAAGGACTAGACCCAGGTGTAGGGGAGCAGACAATTGGACTGCTAACTCCAGTTCTTCAGAGTTGTCTGGCATGGGCTCTTCGCTCCAGGAACGTACCTGGAGATGCCTTGGTAGAAGGGTCATGCCTAGACTTGGTTTAGACTCCAGAGGACCCAAGCAGTGCTTCTTACAAAGGCAGGCTGGGTAAACCCAAGCTAGTAGAAACAACAACTTAGGATTGCTGATGTAAGTCCTATGCCATTGCAAAATAATCATTCCAAACCAGGTCCTGTTGAGGATGGTTGAGTTGTCAATGTGGAGGTCACTTTGGCCTCCTGGCAGGGGTCTGTGAACACCTGATGGAAACTGAGAAGTGTCACTTGACAGAGGGACTGGAAAGGTTACACAAAAGGGCAGGAGCTCTGAGCCATTTGCTCTTTGGCTATCTTCAGCATTGCAGGCTGAATGGAAGATGCCTGCAACAGGAGCCCATTGAGGCAGGGGGAAACCCTCCCTTCCTGAATGCAGATGGACCTCTGAGGCTCCCAGGGGAAAGCTGAGCTATGAAGTAAGGTCATTGTATTTTGGAAGTTTGGGGATTTTCTTTTTCAGTGGTCTTTATCGACTTAATATTTTGACTTTGTGAGTAAAAGCAATGTTGTGTTTAAACTTCTTGAGCAAAGGCTACTTGCTCACATCAAACTTCCTGAAGAATTATGCAGTGGACCAGAAGGCTCGCTCTTGCTTGGATTCTGGGGAGATTGGGTTAAGGTTATGGTGGGAGTCTGCGGACTTGGGGCAGGCAGTGGCACTGTTTGCCCAGCTAGATAAGTGTTCTGTATCAGGACAGTGAAGGACAGTGCCTAGATTCAGTTTAGAGGCTCACAAGGTATCCTCTGAGAAGTTCGGTGAGGGGCTGTCAGTCTGTCTTTTGTGTCACGTGCGGGACTGGGTTTAAAGGGTTTGATCATGCAGCTTTGATGCACGTGATCACATAGATAATGACATTCAAATGTTTTACTAGATTTGTATGGGGTTACGAATATTTCCATACTGTAGCGCCATATATATGGCCATGCTTTGCTGTGGCATTCCCTAGCATGGCATGGAGGTTATGTACACATGTCCTGCATTACCTTTGTATACATGTGCATTTGATAGAATACAAATGGCTCCCTTCCACTTTAATACCTGAAAATTAAAGCCTTGCTCTTGTGTCCCTGTGTCTGTCAAAATGAGGTGAAGGGAGGGCAGTGCAGCCGTAAAGTGTGTGGGAAAGGAGAGAAAAGTGGACTTCTCGGTGGGCTTTAGGTGTAAGTAATATTAAGCATTTTGAATGGGTCTGTGGTATCCTAATTGGTCAGACCTCTGCACCTGTAGGGAGTGCTGTTCTCTGGAATTAAAATACCTTGTTTTTTTTTATTACAGGAGTAGCATTAACTGTTACCTGGAAGAAATAGTTATGTTGTATGAGGGACTTTTGTCTCTGTGGGCTTTCCTATGCAACTGAGCCACTGCAGGCACACAATATTACAGACTAACCTTGTGCTGCAGAAGACCTCCCTTACTAGAAATAAATTGGCGGGCAGAGGAATTCTCTTGTCTTGTGATGTGCCATGAGCACTTTGCAAGCCAAACCAGGACTCTCAGGGCAGGGATTTGACTTCTGATGGCACATCGTCAGTTTTAGGACATGGAGGAGTATGCAGGCTTGTTTGTTTGATAAGTGGTGGTGGGGAGTGGAATCTCACTCCATTTATGCACTTAGAATTCAGTGTCATTCTCGTGACCTTCCCTAATTCACTTCTCATTCAGTTCCTATAAAGTAAAATTAGCAGGGAAACAGAGAATCCAGATTTTAAAAATCTTCCTAAACACAGAAAATCAAAGATGTCTGTGTTCTTCATGCATATTGTATTCAATGAAGACAAAAGGGAAAGCTCAAACCCCTAACTAGTAAGTGATAATGAAATGTGCTATCTAAGTAATACATGCTACAAAAATTGCAAACCCTTAGGCTGGTGTGTAGTTAAAAAAAAACAAACCATATGCAAAATAAGGCTGCTTTAGGATGAGTCTAGTCTTTCTCTGTCAAATCCACGTGCAAAATACTGGTGACAATTAAGACTGAACACAATACTTTTTTTTCCCCTGATGTATACGTCCTTCCAAATATTTCGGAGTATGTCTAAGTAGTGCACACATTTGGGAGATGTTAAATATCCTTCTTCCTGTTGCACAGTCAAGAAAACTGAGATGGAGATTGGCTAGGAAAATAGCCTACACTCCCTTGGTGAGCTGGTAACAGGCAGATAATCCAGGATTCCCAGTTACCAGTTTTATATTCTGGCCACTAGCTCATGTATCCTTCTTTGTCTTAATCTAGCTTTTAAGAATCAGTAATTGGTTTAGGACAGAGATCAGCACTATCCTGCCTGCAGGCTGGATCCAGCCCATAAAGCCATTGGATCCAGCCTGCAGTACCAGATGGTTTGGCTTCTGTGGGTTCCTGCTCTGGAGCTAGGCAGTAAGGAGCTGCATTACGGCCAGGCTGTGACCATGTTGCTGTTTGCACCACAGCCAGGGAATTGGGGCAGTGCAGGTTCTAGACTGTGGGGAACTGGAAACTAAGGGTAGTGGTGGGGGGTGCAGCTCCTACCTGCCTGGCCCCAGAATGAGTGCAGGCAACATCCCCTGCTGCTGACACAATGCCAAAGCCACCTGCCCTGTGTTGAACCAGAGCCAAGTTGTTCCCATCTGTGGCTTGTTAAAGGTTGCCAGCTACTGGTTTAGGACAGTAGCTTGTGTCATGCTTTCCAGGATGGAGTAAGCAGGTAGCATAGCATTTGGAATCAGGTTTTGGGTTTTTTGGGGGGTTTTTTTGTGGGGGGAGGGAGGTGTTCTTTTCTCTTTTTGCTAAACACATTTGTTGCCTTTCTGTCACCTCCTGGACTTGTAGTGCGTGAAACGCTACTGTAAAATTAAATGTTGTATTCCAAAGTACTTTGCAGCCTTCTAGTATATAATATTTTTATTATTTGATTGTAGAGGAACTGTTAGTGTATAGTCAAAACCTTTACATACTAGTGTATTATAAATATGTCCAGCAGTACTTATAAAGTGACCACCAGACAAAATGCCTACACTCGTGGCTACATTAAAAGCTCATACTGTATATCTGATGGAACTCATTACAAATATTATGTTTGTAATAAACAGTGGCTGTTAGGATGGTGAGGTACATCAGTGAATTTAAAACAGTATCTTGTCTCATAATAATGCAGGTTTCCCTCGCCAACTGCTGGGGTTAGGTTCCTGAAAGTTCCCATGGTTAGCAGAACTGTGGCTGGCAAGACAAAAGGCTTATGGGAAAAATGGCAGGTGGTGGCATGATGTGTGACCACAGAAAACCATGGTTACTCAAATCTGTATACCATGGTAGCCAAAATGCTTTCCAGAATATTAACTGTGGATACTCAAAACCATGGTTGGCAAGGGAAAACCTGTACCCTGCTTTCTAAAACACACACGCTTTTATTTTTATTTCTTGCATGCACTATGGTAACTTCTGATCCCTTGAAAGGTAAAGAAAAGGGAAAGGAGAAATGAATACCAGTACTAACAAAAAAACCAAACCTCCTACCTGCACACCCCACATTATGAACCTAGTGTTGACTTTCAAGTCAATTGCTCTGCATATTGGCATCTGTATTTTTACAGTTTATTTTCTTGTGTGATTAGTAGGCTTCACATAAATGGGAAGCCCTCCTCTGTGGTTCAGAGGCCCAGCAGATTAACAGGCATCAAAGAACTGTCTTTTTTCCTTCTGTTTTTTCTTTCTTTCAACCAATTGGTTACTGTGAAAGAAGACTCTGCTGCCCTAGTCTTTCCCTTATAAATAACCCAACTGTTTGCCTCTCGTGGTTGCTTTCCAAAGCAGGCTGGAATTGGGGATAATTCCCCTGTTGTATAGAATGTTTTGACAAGTATCAAGTAAGTTGACACCAGAATCCTAGTTACTTCACTCTGCTCCTGCTTAGGAGGGACAAGATAAGAGCAGCAGTGTAACTATTGTTTTTGATTTCAGGAAGATACAGAAGTTCACGTTTAAAAGATCTTTGTCACAACTGTCACAACTGTAAATGTACACCTTTCACTTCTGGTTTTAATCAGAAGTTCATATTTTGCAGAACTGAACGTGCTGGCACCCCTGCCAAAGAAAACTTCCTACTCGCTTGTTACAAGCAAGAGGATGTCTCAAGGCCTGATCAAGTGATCCATAATATATATATTTAATTGCATTTGTTATTTATTTAAAACGTTGCAGGTAGCTTTTATTGCTGCATTACAATTATAAATCTTTTCAGTCTGTGCTTGTAGAACTATCTGAATCCCCAGTGAATGCCAGATGAGCAGAAAAAGCAATTAAGGGTGTTATGAGTAAATGTTTCAGTCTACTGAGTTCTAACTATATTTGTTTGAGAAAGCAGCATGTGTTAATGTTTGGTATACCTTTTCTTTCTCTCCTGTTCTACTAGATCAAAAATATTAAATAGTAATTGGGTTAGTCACCCTGAGACTGTGTTTTATTTTCAAGTGATTTTTTTTTTCCTTCCAGAATGAAATGACTATTGTTTTGGAAAATCTTCTGTTTTCTTTCATACAGGGGCTCTGCTGTTGCCAAAATAATCGGCAGTAATGTGAAAAAAATGCAAAAGTTTGCTTCCACAGTAAAAATGTGGGTCTTTGAAGAAAATGTTAATGGAAGAAAACTGACAGATATAATAAATAATGAACATGAAAATGTAAAATATCTACCTGGATACAAGCTGCCAGAAAATGTGGTAAGATTTGGAGGCTAAACTTGGTCTAGTTTCTTTTTGGGTGGGGGGAGGGGAAGATTGCTTATAGTCTGTAGTGAGGTAGGAAATTGTTTCCTTTTTTTTCTTCTTTTTTTGCTTTGTTTTGAATCAAATTCCAGTCCACATGCTATTTTGCTGATGCCATTGGCATAATTTTAGTGTTTTGAGCAGCCAAGCTAAGACTGGTATCTAACAATCCTGTAATGGATCTTCCTCTTCAATAACTTAATGGCACCAAGTGTACCAGATGTTGTGTGTGTATGCACTTATGCAATTAAACGACAGATTAATGCTTCAGCCCTTTAAAACCACTATAATGACTTGCTCTACATTTGGAAGGGAGCTGAATGGTAAGTTTGGGGCCTTTCCTGATTCTCTGAAAATGCAGCTATCACTGTTGATCTTTTGAGAGGGCAGGGAAATGAATGGCAGGCTGGACACAGGGATTCTGATTCCTAGCTTTCTTTGACCTAGTATGGTCGAATGCAAAGTGCACATAAAATGTTGCTGTTCTGACTTGGCAGTATTTCATATCTGCTTTGCACTGGTGTAAATGACAAGGGAGAAGACTAATGTGATTCTGGCCTAGAAAGAAGCAAGAGTGGGAAGTGAATGCTGGAGTTGAGTAGGAGATCCTTCAGGAAGAGGAGCGCAGCAGCCTGCAGCTATATTGTGGTTCTATTGGCATCAGTCAAAAACCTAAATTTCACACCAGTTCCTGATTTGAAATAATCCTTTTTGTATGACAGACCAGGTAACGTTGGTGCCTGCTATCCATGACAAGATTTTTCACACCGATTCTCTCCACTGGTGGTATTTTTTAGCATCTGCTGTTCAGCTTCAGAACTGATGGAAACTTTATTTTATTTATTACCTGTACAATATCTTATGTCTGTCAGCACTTGCTGGACAAAACTAGTCTGGCAGGGGACTTTCCAAGAAGCTGACTTATTTTCAGCTAAAACCTTTTAAAAACAAACAATAACAATGTAAGGAAGCAGATGAAACAGCTCCTTTTGAAGAAATCTGAGTTAAAACAAATAACACTTTCCTGAGTGCAGTGGTATATCAGAAATCTACACTATTTTGCCAGACTAACAACTAAGGAAGAGCAGTGTTGAATTAAAGAACATTTCTAGACTACAATCAGGTAGGTATACACATGTTGACTACTGTCACTTTCATGTTTAGTTGATTGCACCAACAATAGTGGTGGGAAAACAGTCCTTTAAACATGTGTCCCAAGAGATCTATTGTTGGATGGTTTCAAAGCACTTGATGCTGTTGCCTTTGTAAGAATGTAATGCATGTATGGGTGGGTTTAGCTTTGTTTTTATTCTCATTGATGTAGCACGATAACTTTTATCTTTCTCAGCAACAAAACCAAAATACTCTTTAATGTGGGGGAAACAATTGCTCTAATTTCCTCTCAAATAACTTGTTTTGTTTGACTGATCGTCTTTTTTTCTCCTGGAACTTCTTGTACAGGTTGCTATCCCCAACCTTAATGAAGCTGTGCAAGATGCAGACATGTTGGTCTTTGTCATTCCGCATCAGTTCATTCATAAGATCTGTGATGAGATCAGAGGGAGGGTACCCAGGCGAGCTGTTGGTATAACTCTTATCAAGGTATAGTAAGTTCTGTATATTAGCACTGTCGGTAAGCAGTGAAATCTTCTGAAACCTTATTGGCCTAAACAAGCTTAGTGTTTGGCTTGAAAAAGCTTTCCTTTTTTCAACAATCCTTTTTGTTTTGTTTTTTCTTGATCATTCAATATATGACCTCTTTGGATGTATAATGGGAATCTGATTCCTGGTCCTTAGTGAACTGTTATTCAGCGATACATATTTTATACTAGTATTTCTGGCGACTAACGGGGAAATGAGACTATCAGCAAGACTAGCTTAAAAAATGTTTCACACTACCAGGTTTTTCAGGCTTTTAACTCATTGTTTGTGAACACATTATTAGATGGAGAGCTGAGCACAAATATAACAGTCTGGTTGTTGATTCACATTTCTTGTGCTGAGTTGATTGTTTTAAGAACTGACAAGAGGCTCTTATGTGACTAAGAGAACAGTGCTTTTGTTCACGTAAAAGATTTTGCTGCAACAAGAGAAACTGTTCAGAACAATTAAAAAGATAAACCAGCTCCAGAATGATAATGGAGTTCTAAGTACTGGAATATGCATTGTACAGGGGTATTCATAGCATTGGTGTCGAGCGGGTTTCTGCTTTTAAAGTGGTTTTGTTCCTGTGTGTTTAGCTGTGGTAGATCTGGCTAGTCTCATAAGCTTTGGAAGATGTTTCTTTGTTTTTCTTGCCCTACATCTAGTTAAGAGTAGGCTCTTTATTTTCTCAGCACACGTTTTCTTGTCTGTTGTTGTTCCTGGCACAGGGTCATCCTGTAAATCATTTAGTTTTTGAAGAAACTTGTCTGTGTTTAGCTTTGCTAAACTTGTTGACTTTCATGTTTCTGTCAATGCTGCCATATCAAAAAGACTTAGGTCTTAAAATTTATTGCAAGGTAACGCTGTTTTATTACCATTGCCATACTTGTACAGATAACCTTTACACGGAGAAGAAGGATGAGAGATATAAGGTATAGTAGTCCAAGGTAGTGCTGAAACTGATAAATGCCTCTGAACAGCTTCTGAACAATGTGACCATTGTAGATGGCTTTTAGCCTGGAAACAAAATCTGAGATTTGTCATTTTGACGTTCCTCAATAGTTCAGGCCAATCTGAATCCAAGAGACATCCCTTCACTTGAGAGGAACATAATTTTTCTCTAATTTGTTAAATATATGAACTGGATTCTGATGATCTTTGTCAGCATAAGCCTGGAATAACCTTAACAGCATTGCACCTACAACAATCCACAATATCTGAAATCAGAATCTAAACCTGTGTTCCCCAATGGTGCAGTTTAAAGGCTTGCTGATTAATAATTGTATTTATGTAGGAGTAAATGTTTAGTGCATTAATAGGGTGTAATAGAAAATATTTTCAGTGTTTTAAAAAAATAAATGTTATCTTAGTTTTAATCTGAAGCATGTGATATAATAATGTGGCAATATCGGCTGATACAAGGCAAAACTGATTTCTAGTCCTCACTTGTCACTGTTGAGCTGACTCCATGAATCAAGAGGCACTCTTGGAAGAAATGGTACAACCTGTTTTTAATTCCCTTTAATGGGAGTGCAAACTATACATTGCTAGTTTCTGTCACCAGACACAAACATATACCCATTACATAGGGGAAAAGAGAGGCAGAGATGTGATCCTGGCAACAAAATTAATTCCCCTTTTCGTCAGGAGTTGAATATATTTTTATTTATTCTTCTCCATTATCTTGACACACTGTCTTTTTAGTTAAAATCAAGCCTTCCTAGACTCCTTTCTTTATCTTTAGATGTAGTTCTTCTTATAGTGGTCACTAGAAACACCTCCTGGCTTTAGCGAAGTCTTAGTCTGGAAAAGGTTACATAAAAGAGAACCTTGTTTGTCTCGGTGGTTCTTTATTAAGTATACACTTTTCCACTAAACAGTGCGTGCGTAACTGCCAGACCTACAAACGCAACCTAATATCTGTTTATATAACTGGCTGCTCAGTGAATAAGGCTCTGCTTGCTGAATTACTCCCATAGTGCCGTGTCTGTAATTGCATTCCCTTAAATAGGTTAGACAGGCTTGAATGTTTGGAATGTAGCAGATAACTGTGTTGATGCAAGAGGATAGATGCAGTCCGATTTTACTTTTCTCAGTACTGCACCACAATGGAGAGTACAGGAGTGAAAGAGCAATTTGAAATAGTCTCTGGCTAGCCCCTGGACAGGTTTAAGGTTGATCTAATTCACATCTAGCTGTTTACAGGCACCAAGGGCTATGCCAGTAGTTGGGGGCAGCTGCTGCTTACACTACCTGAGAATTTTCCTTGTGCAAGGCTATTCCTCAAGTCAGATTCATCTTATTTACTGCCTCCTCTACGATGTACTCCCAGTGCAGGCACAACTCCCTCTGACTGCAGCAGAAGTTGTACCTGCTCACAAGAGGGGTGAGTTTGGTGTCCAGGCTTGTAAGATCTTTTTAAACACAAACTATTAATCTGTGTATTTCACTTCATCTTAGGGAGTTGTTCCAGATGCTTTTTACTAGGGCTGTGTGAAGCTTTGAATGCTGATTAGATTCAGAGGAGGTTTGGCCTGATTTGGTGGCCAAATCTGTGAATCTGAATTGAATTGGGAGACCAATAAAAAGGTCTGAATTGATTCGAAGCTCTGTAAGATGATTCAGAGAGCTTTGGAGATTTGGACAGTCCCCACTCT